AGGACATTCCCACAAACCATTACAAGAGAATGCTCCTATAAGCCAATCAGTGCACATTGACTGATAAGATCATCCATAGCAGTGTTTCCAATTCTGGCGTGTGTCTCACATGAGCACACATGTAATCTGTATGGGAGACAAGTTATCTTCCCAAATTAGGCAAGAGAGAAAGAAGAAAATACTGTAGAAAAGGAAGAACAAAGTATCTAATGGAATATATTAAAGCAAAAGGATTTGCAGGTTTCTAAAGTCTAGAAATAGAATAGCTTCTGAAGGCTCTGAATTTAGTGATCAAAATATGATACCATGTTTCCCCGAAAATAAGATCCTGTCTTATATTTTTTTGAAACCCGAAATAAGCGCTTGGCCTTATTTTCGGGGAGGTCTTATTATTTTGGGGCGCATGGAGCAAGACAGGGATACTCTTGCCATCTTACCTGATTTCCAGCTCTGTCTCCCTAACCCTAACCAGAGGAAATGGTGGGGACTGGCTGCATATGCATTTAAATATTTTCAGGGAGGGCTTATTTTCTGGGGAAGGTTTATTTTCGGTAACATTCTGCACATTCTCTTTTTTGGGGGGGGGAGATTTTTTTTTTTAAATAAGCTTACAGCAAACCGGTTTTCATAGTGGCAGACAAGTTTAGTCACTTATGCTCACTTCTTATTTTACTATTAAAGCAGAAAAACATATTGTCAGTACTAATATTGTAATTTTTATGCCCTAAAACTTACAATGTTTGATCAATGTAATAACATGTTTGCAATAGACTTCTCAGAAAATGCTAGCTTTTCGTTTCTATATTGGGTCTGTTATTTTATTTAATATATATAGCCACCCATCTTTCAAAATGTGACTCTGGGGCAGCATACAATTAAAACCATAAATCAGGCAAACATAAAAACTGAAGAATGCAGGAGAACTGCATTCATTTGACATTATGTAACCATCACGCAAGCTCACCATGGGATCTCCAAGGTAGATGGAAAAACCAAGGTTTAAGGGCTTTCCAAAGGCAAACGGATGGGGCCAAATTCACTGGAAAGAGAATAATTAGGGCTAACACCAAAATAGTGACAATATTACCGCAACTAGCCTTAAAACAGACAGTGATGATATTGAAGTGGTGGATAGCTTATATCAGTGGTGGCTAACCTTTTCCAGACCGTGTGCCCAAAGTGTGCATGCTCAAATACGTGCTCCTGAACCCCCAAAATGCAATGCGCACAAAGCACCCGTGCATGTGCCCCACCCCGTGCATGCGTGCAAGGCTCCCGCATGCGCCCCCCACACATGCATGTGCACTCCCCGCACACACCCGCCCCCTGTGCGCGCACAGCAGAGACCCGGCGACTAGCTGGCTGGCGGAAGGCGCTCGCGCATGTGCAGCAAAGCTGAACTGGAGTGATGGCCTGTGTGCCCACAGAGAGGGCGCTGCTTGTCACCTGTGGCATGCGTGCCATAGGGTCGCTATCACAGACTCATATCTTTTTGGATCAACAACCAACAATAAAGAAACCAGCAATCAATAAATACTCCCCAGACTACCACTTGAGTAGCAACAAAAGTCCTGGAATAGATTTTCAGATGCTGAGATATATCTATACTTTTCTCTATTTATTTATTTTGCTATTTATATGAAATGATTAGCCACTAAACATCAAGAAAAAAGCAGGTTGGAGCAGTGGTGGATTGCCCCTGGTTCGGACCGGTTCACCCACTGCCCCGGATGTCATTATAGGCGATCTGCGCATGCGCAGAAGCTTCTGTGCATGCACAGGAGCTTGGTGTGCGTGTGAGCCCGATGCGAACCGTTGTAAAGGTAAGTAGACCCCACCCCTGGTTTGGAGGCTTGCCTCAGTCCAGTGATAAACAAATCTCAGGCAGAACTTTTGGAAGCTGAAAGTTTTAACTGTATTATCATTGTCTTTCTGAGATGCATCTTTTGCTCTCTGCTGGAGCTGATCTTCACTGTTCAGGCTTTTTTAATTGTATACCACCCAGAGCCATATTTGTGCAATGGGTAGCTATATAAATCTGATAAATTTTTAAAGGGAAGCAGTCCTTTTTACTAGTATCTTAAGATGACAAATGGGACGTGGTGGCTCAGTGGCTAAGACGCTGAGCTTGTCGATCGAAAGGTAGGCAGTTCAGCAGTTCGAATCCCTAGTGCTGATAACAGGGTGAGCTCCCGTTACTTGTCCCAGCTTCTGCCAACTTAGCAGTTCGAAAGCACATAAAGAATACAAGTAGAAAAACAGGGACCACCTTTGGTGGGAAGGTAACAGTGTTTCATGCGCCTTTGGCGTTTAGTCATGCTGGCCACATGACCACGGAGATGTCTTCGGACAGCACTGGCTCTTCGGCTTTGAAATGGAGATGAGCACCGCCCCCTAGAGTCGGGAACGACTAACACATATGTGCGAGGGGAACCTTTACCTTTAAGATGACAACTGTATATTTTTGTAAGTACTTGTGCATTTTTTATAATGTTATGTATTTTTGGACTTTGTTCCTTTTTTCTTTTTCTGTTATTTTAAAAGCAATAAAAATTTTAAATTAAAAAATATGGCAGGCTTACAGGCTTGGAGGAGCAGCCAAGATGGTGAAGTGAAAGCACCTAGCGATCAGAGTGCTCTGATTAATTTCTGTTTTTAACTTACATTATCAGACTAATCCCCTTTTTAATTACTGGATTCTGTGCATAACTATATTTGATTAATATTCAAACAACTGGCCAAGAACTGAGAATTGTTTATACATGACCCGCAAGAGAAAATAACAGTATGGGAAAGAGGAAGAAATGACAAAAAATGAATTCTGGCCCATACATACTGCTCAAAACATCTTAGCAATAAAAAATAGATGACCTAATAAATTTTTTTAAAAAGGCATCTGAAAACTAAAATGTAAGTGATGACACCGCCAACATTACTTACAGTCTTGGCAAAGTCAAAACCAGAAATCCAATGCACAAATGATGAGTCCGAGGAGAGGGACAAGAAAAACATTGAACTCTAATCCAGAATTTTAAGCACAGCACAATAAAGATAACAGAGCTGAGATCTGAAAAGTTGTTCACAATTTTTTCTCTCGGATTGATGACACTAAGCCATGCTGAGCCTCCACCGGCTGAGGCCTATTGCTCATTAGAGTCTACTCTCCTGCTGGCCAGTTTACCTGCAGAGCTCAGCCCTTCTGCTGCATCTTCAAAGCAGGATTGTACCTGGTTGTCCTCTTTCCTTCTACCTTTTCCCAGCATTAGAGCCTTCTCCAGAGAGTTAGGAGTCAAAAGTAACTCTTGCCCAACCCTCCAATACGTAGTACTCCCCAGTCTGATTCTACATATCCTCTCCCAATTGATTACATAGTAATTTTCTAGTACCAATTACTTTCTTCAATGCTGTAGTGGTTTCTGGGCAATGTTCAAGGACAGGATTCAAAGCCTAATATATATATGGGTTGTACAAAACATGCCAAATCTTAAACTATGGTTAAGAAACCAATATGGCAAGCAACGCTAAATACATTTCATTTTGTCATAGTGTACTGTGAAAACAAGTTATCATGTTAAGCCAGAATGTTGTGGTTTGAGTTTTTTTGGCAAGAGTGTGTGAACATAGCCAGTTTATAAATCATGGATTATATCTTGATATATTACACAAAAGGAGCCATATAGATTTGATTGCAGACCGATGTTGTAAAACTATTAAAATAGATGGGCTGTTGTACCATAACTCCTTTAGAGTCTGCTGTAGATTTTCTATTGAAGACTGTTTTAAACTCTGATTTCCTAGTCTGAAGTATTTTAATATTTTATTTACAGAATAAGAGTTTTGAAAAAGAAAATTATTAATTATAAAAGTATAAAAATAAAAAGTATATTTTATTAATTTTCAGAGATAGTTACAATAGGCATAATCTCTAGAATTTTTCCATTTCGTGAAAAGGAGGAGGGATCGGTTTTATAAGTACTATAGTAAAAATGTTTTTAAAATAATCTGTTCCACCGTTTGTGTAATTGCTCATGAGTATATTGAACTAGTATAAAATGTAAAATAAAATATAAAATAGACATAAATCTGTGTGGTTGCTAGGAGTAAAAAATGACTTGATGGCACATAATCAATACTTAACTAGGAACTGGAGCCTTAGAATTCATATAGAAGCACTTCCATATTATTCTTGGAAGTACTTTGATCTCCTAGCACGCAATGAATGTGTTGTATGATTTAATGATTTTCTCTTCAGTAATGTTTTGTTCACCTAGAAAGTAAATAGATTTGCCAATCTTAATTTTCTAGATCCCCTTTTGAAAATTGTGATTGAGTTAGCTATATTCCTGTCTAAGTACATAATTTAGTAATAATTTATCAAGCAAAGATTGTAAAAAAATGCTTTGCTGGAATGATGCTACTTCAGATTTAAAATCCTAGAGTGAAAATATTTGTTCACTTTCTATCTTTGAATTGGTTGTTTATTGATGTAATGGTATGGTTTGGAGTGAAAATGGAATATTCCAGACTTCTCTGGAACCTTCTATTCTCAAATTTTTTAAGATGCAAATATACAGTATTTTGTTCCTGGATAAATTTACATACTACAATTGCTCTTTTTATATAAAGATGTTAGTATTTAAGATTTTTTTTGTACATATATGCAAATTTTTGCTGAACTTGTGGCAAATATCTCTACAGTATTAATGAATCTTTAATCACACTACATTAATTAGATATGTGTGTTCAAATGACCTACTATACTGCCATCATACCCACAGTGATGCATCGGAAAGAACCCATTTCTTTGACATCCGGGTAATAATATATCTCTGTCTCCCTCCTTAACAGAGATTAGATGGTTTATCCCAGTAGTTTGCTTCATTAAGACTTTGTTCCTATATCAAGCTTTCCAGGAGGGCTTCCTCTACTTCCATCTTCCCCTCCCCCGTTCTGTGAATGTGTATGTGTGTGTGTGAGAGAGAGAGACGGCGGGGAGGGGGGGGGAGATTCTTTAGAATAGTACAGCCCAGAGTAGAGGTGGAAGGGAGAGGATTGTTCTTCACCTGCTTATAAGGTTCACCATTACCCGGAAGTTCTTTCTTATAAGGAGGTGGGGGGTCTTTTCTCTCTTGAATGCAGTGAGCATCCTCCAGCTCCTCTTTGCCGCGTCCATGGGGTTTGTTTGAGAGGAGTCCACAGAGATGGAGAGATGCATTCCCCTTGGCGTTGACCCAAACCTTAAACATTTGGGTAAGAAGAAATAAGTATAAAGATTTTCCCCTCCTAAAAGCGGGTGGGTAGTAATGAGAGAGAGCGGAAGAAGAAGAAGAGGAGGGGTGCCTGGGCGGCTTTTGTGCATGTGATTACAGTATGTCTGGATGGATTGCCATGCTGAACGCTGCTTAGAATGCTGGTTGTTGGAGCAGAAAATGGATTCAGCCTGGGATTTATATTATAATCTTAAATACCAATAATTTGTGCATTAATTTCCGTAAGATCAATTGAATTTAGTCCTTTGAAAGTATGTGTAAATTTTGTATTACCAAGGATTTTTTGGGGGGGGGGTTGATTAGTTGGGGAATTGGGATGGACAAAAAGCTCTAGGATTTCAATTATGAATGATGTTTGGTGTTGGGAAGACAGGTGTGTGTGTGAGTCAGGGTGGATGGAATTTCTTTGTAGAGTGAATCGTGTTCCAAGATGATGAGGTAGGGATACAGAACGAACTACTGTTTTATTTACCGTGCATGAAGGAAATGTGGGTATAAAGCTGTGTAGAGATTTGTGTGGGCTAAACAGAAGAGAAGGAAACTTTCCTTTTTAAAAATTACTTGTACTTTTGCTATACATTTACCTTTTCTTCGTACCTTTGTATATGATTTATAATATTAATTGCACATATCCTGCCCTGATGTGGTTTTAATCCCATGCTGCAGGGTTTTTTTTTTGTTTGTTTTAAGTACCTTGTGACTATGTATTTCTTTCACCCCTAGGAATTTTGCAGACTAGATTCATCAGTGGGGTTCTTTTCCCACAGAATGTTATATATTTAAATGATCTTTATTTTAAAATAACTGTGCCTAAAGTTCTAGAATAGTTACTAGGAAATAAGATGTACTGAGGCCAGTGAGTTTTACGATTAAGTAAATATAAGAGTATGCTTTTTAAGTATATTAAGTTTTTCATTTTTAATTTTAGCAAATAAAGGATGATCTCTTCCACCTGGGGAATCTCTCTGTGGCTGATCTCTAAAATGAAGTACGTAGTTAATTTGACTTCCATAGCATTTTAAATTTTTATTTAGAACTAGTCCATGTAATTCTTTATCAAATCTATAATTTTTATTGCATCCCTGGTTGATAGATAAATCCTTTGGGTTGTAGATAAATACAGTGGGTAATTTAATATAAAATGATTCAATCAAACAGATCCACATTTCTTAATTTTGAGGTATGCCTTGAGATTGTACAAAGAGAATTTAAAGAATTGAGGGATATATGCTACATATATCGCGTTCCAAAATGTTTCTGTTGCTGCTAGTGAAATCATTTGTGAACTCAGCTGCAGATGTTGGTATCTGGGTCAGATGCACTATGGTAGATAAATCTGGCTACTTGTATTTTTTGCTTTAGAAAGGTACAATGCATAGATCAGTAATTCAGAAAACTCTAGTACCTTTAGCAGTATGAAAGAATGTCTAGCAGAGTTTGAAATCACCGGTAGGGGTGGCTGTGGTGTCCTTTAGAAAATAAATGAAAACAATTGTTTCTTCATAGCAGAATTTAAACATGATGGATAAAATGTGATGCAGTGTCACAGATGATGCTAGTATCATTCTGTGAAGTTCTAGTGATATTCTATGTTTCAAAATAATGATTTTATGCCAGCCATTCAGAGGAAATTTATCCCTTCCAGCCCTGAATAGTTTCTCTGTTACTTTGTAAATAGCAGGGCATGTATAATGCAGCACTGTATAGAATAGGAACTAAACAGAATCATTACAGTTATTTTAGGCTGTTGTTGACATATATGGGTTAAATAAAACTCACCAGAGTTCCATGTATTTTTTTAAAGTCAGCTGTTGTATGTGTGCCTCCATTAGCAGTAGACCAGAAAATTTTGACTTGTAGCTGAACCCAAATGCTGCTCTTGGCCAAAGGCCAGGATTTCTTAAGGAAACAGGATCTTTTACTGAATAATATTAAACACCAGAGCTGTGCATGTTTTGGAACTATTAATCATCATCTCTAATTGTTATTTAGTTCTAAGTATTAGTAGCAAATGAGAATATCCACAAAAACCTGTGTTTAGTTTTGTAGTTAACAGAGATCTTTACCATATGCTTTATCATCTGTATTTGGTTGCAGCTTTAATTATTTCTAAAACAAGCGCAATGTATTGTTGCTTGAATCCAATATTTACATATTTAAATTTATAGCTCAATTAAACAATAGTCTGACTCTATGGCGTACTAAACCACCAACTAGTTTATCACTTAGTCTAGCATGCTGTATAAATGCAGCTTGTGTAGTTAGTTGATGCTTGAATATGTTATATGAAACCAGAACATTTAGTAAATGGATTATTTAACCATAGGTAAGCATTCTCTGTGGAAACATACTATACCTTTTTCAAAGTGAGAATTCTTGATTTAAAATAAGCAGCTTTAATTCACCACAGCAATTTTGAACTTTTTATTTAAAATGTAGAAGTGTCATAAGATCCAGGTACTTTTTGACTTGGCGAGAAATAATGTTAACTAAAAACGTGTTCATGGTTTATGATTATTCATGGAATGTTATCTAAAGGTTTTAACCAGATATTTTTAGATCAGTGCAGTTTAGATGTACTATTTGTTAATGGAGTTCTTTATTTGCTTGTAGAGCTACTGCTTCTTCCACCTAAGAATACAAATTGGAAACTAATTTCAACTTCAACAATGGAGTATTGAATAATTATTGATCAAGCAGGCTGCTGTTTTCTCATCAGGGATTTCTTTAAGGTATGTTAGAAGGAGTCTTTTTTAAAGTACATGTGTGAGTACTACATGGTTTTCAAAAGTTCTGGGAGCAACCAACAATTGTAGTCTTATCAATATTAACTATCATACAGAATGACAGTGAGTGTAGCAATAGACAGTACAACATTTAAACTAAAAGTTATGAGTACACATTTTACTAAATTACTAAACATAAATTTTTTCGTATTGTATTAACTGGGCCTTTGGAGTTTTAAACTATGGTTATATCGTCAAGCTTCATTATGTTGTTTGAATCCAGCCAGCTGCAATTTTTCAATAAATCATGATTAAACAAGCAAGATATTGTACTGTAGGTCTTCATGTCTTTTTAAAGAATGAGTTAAATAATAGGACCAACCAAAATAATCTTAAGGGCCAGGCAATCTCAGCTAATGGTGAGATTGCTGATCTGATGAATGGAATGGAAGATTTATGCATGATTTAGACTGTATTGATCTCATACTATATTATCATATACCTGTTCTTTAAATCTCAAGTGAAATTTTCTTGCCTAGCAAATGCCTATCCCTTTAAGCATGGCAGTCAAATGTGAGTTACTATTGCATCACTCCCTCTGACATGCTTTTTTGCATGCAGTATTTCCTCAAGTTATCTAAGATAACTTGAAGCAATACTCAGAAATACCTATGTACATTATTCAGGTTGAAATGTTAAATGAGGAAGATAGAATCTATGAGCCTCGCAAAGATAGCTGTAGGTGGAAGTCTACTAAGTTGCCATCTTTGGGTTTTTTTTTTAAAGTAGAGTGATAAAGGGGGGGAAGGATACATTGGAAAGGAGAAACCTGTTCTCTCTACCTTTTTGTTGGGTTAACATAAGTCATGTTATAGTCCAGAAATATTGGTTTAAGAAAGGTTATCTTACATTATATAGCTTTGTATGGAAATATCATTCATTTGAATTTCATTTATCTCTAGAGTATCTTAAAGCCATCCATAATTTATTGCAACATGTTGTATAAATCCAATCCATGTGTTTAGCTTATGGTTCAGTATATCATATTAACCCAGGAAATTAAGTTAATGGAATAAACCATGCTTCATTTAACCAAAGGTGCTTACCTCGTGTAAATGCAGATAGAGGATTATAACGGATGTTTAGCAGAATATTCTCCAGTAGCATAATAAAATACCAAACAGTATTACAGTATAGATTTTAGACTAATTTAATTAGAGTAATTAATTGAATTAGCTCTACAGATCAGTTATCTGGAATATCGTGACACTTTATTAAATATTTATATAAATATGTCATATATTATATAATTTTATTTTAGATGAATATTTAATATTCGAGAACCAAGTTGGTGTAGTGGTTAAAGCATGTCTAGAAACCAGAAGACCGTGTGATTTAGTCTTGACTTAGGCACAAAGCTAACTGGGGGACTTTGGGCCAGTCATTCACTCTTAGCCCTAGGAAGCACACTTTGCCAAGATAACTGCTTGGATTTATCCAGGCAGTCACCAGGAGCCAACACTGACTCAAAGGTATGTGTATGTACAATGTGTGTGTGTGTGTGTGTGTGTGTGCATGCAAACACATATTAATGTAAGAAGGTAAAAAAATAAGGTAGGCCAAGAATAGAAATATTTATCTTCTTCATTGAGGTTGTCCATAAAATAATTGTTCGATTGATTCAGTAATTCATTCAGAATTGTACATAATATGATCATAAATAATTGGTTTTGATTTTATATAGATTAGAGAGTTCTTGATCTGATTTTTAAAACTTATTTTTAATTTATTTGATTTCTGTAGCCACCCAGCAATTTCAACAAGTGACTCCGGACAGTGTATATCATAATACATAAAAACAATTAAACAATTAAAATCATTAAAACAGTACAAAATAAATATATGGAAAATATATGTAAAACTATTATTATAGATGTTAATACAGCCAGGAAATGAGCCCCTTTTTGAAGTAGTAATCATAGAAAAAGGAACAGAAGTAAACTATAATACCCCTATGCTTAACATGAGGACCTGGAAAATCTTAAAAATAGGCAGAAATTATGGCACTGAAATTTAGCAGGCAAATGGCTGAATTACTGTATAGTCATGTGATTTTTACTCATTTTTCAGAAATTTGGGGGAAATGTATAACTGAAATGAGGCTATTTGCCACCAAATTTTGGTAGTGTTGTCTCAGAATACTGTGGAGGCTGCATGTTTTGTCGGATATTGATTGCCCAGTTTTGGTTTAACATTTGAAATTATGTTTTCACACAATAGACCTACCCAATACAGTATTAACTATTGTATTAACTATTGTTTATTTAATCCAAATTTTTGCTTCACAGATCATAAATTAAACACAAGTTGGATTTGTACAAGCTAGTGCTAAGTGTGTTAATTAGTGACGTGTTAATAACGGAACACAGTTATTGTCTACTATTGATAAACATTTAAATAGCAGTCCATTACAGTATAATCTTTGAATTTTTCAAGCCTAAATATACTAGTACTTCCCCCTAGTTTCTTTGCCTTTGTTTTTCTTCCCAGATAGTATTTTTTGCCTTTCATTTATTTCTTATAAAAGTGGTAGTGCTGTTTCCTTAGCATTGTTTATCTGTTGCATTGTTTCAGTTTGGCTAGTTTCCTAAAATAGTGCATTGTGCATTGTTAAATAACTATAATTTCTAGGATTGGATTTAATAAATACAGTAACCCAAAATAAGTATGTGAATAAATTCCAACATTTTAAAGCTTTAGATATAGTTTTATTGTAAAATTTAGTATGCAAACAAAATATTTTTTTAAAAAAACTATTGTTTATGTATACAAGTGGGAGGTACTTTGATTTTAAAAGTCAGTGTGGGAATGTCATAGGCTCAGTTGGCTTTTGGCCTCAAAGGTGAATTGTCCATCGTTCGTTGTATGTTTGCTCCTGTTAGCATATGCTCTGGATTCCATTTCAAGTAGCTTTAGTAAAAGAGCTGCACCTGTGAATTCACATTTTCTCTTTTTGGAGCAGGTTGGGGGGGGAGCGATTGCTGGACCAGGCTATTAATAATATTTTGTTACAGAGTGGGCGAGTTGTTAAAATTAATTTTCCTAGCATGCTTCAGATGCTAATTTATTTTGATTTTACCGTGTAAAGGTGGAAGAACTAGGTAAAGCAAGCATTGATAGAATTTCATAGAGTTCTCTGATATCATTTTCTTTTGTTTTATATCTCAAAAATAGAGAATGATATTCACAGGGAATGAGATTACAGAACGCATGATTTTAGAACATTTCAAGTTTTAGAACAGCTTAACTACTGTTATGTTGTTAGTTTATGGATTAATATATTTATATTTATTTTATTTAATTACTTATGCCTTTGAATCATTATGGATGCCTGGCTACTGCCTGGACTGGCCCCTGCAGTTTCTTTGGCAAGGTTTTTCAGAAGTGGTTTGCCACTTTTGCTGAATGATTTCTAAATTTGCTGATTGAAAAATGGTCTGAATATGGGATAGTAGAAATCGTTGTAATATAATCTTAAAGAGGGAGGATAAATAATTAGTTTGTAATCACTACCAAGAATGTAGGAAGTCACTTTTTAAATTATCTTTTTCTACTTGTGCTTTTTGTACTTTTTCTTTTATTTATGTTATTCTTTTTAACTTTATTTTCATGTTTATCTTTTATTTATGTACAAATCTTCAATAAAAATTATATCTTAAAAAAGGAAGTGATTTGTCATTTTCTGAGGCTAAAAGAGAGTGACTGGCCCAAGATCATCCACCTAACTTGGTGCCCAAGACAGGACTAGAACTCAGATGCCAGGTTTCTAGCCTGATCCTTTAACCATTACTTCCAACTGGCTCTCTTAATATATTCTACACTATAATAATTCAGGTACCTCAGATGGGCTTACAGAATGTGTGCAAAATCCAGGACTCTTGACTCCCAAGGAATAAAATTTGGGAAAGTTGTGGCTGCTTCAGTGTTACTGGCTTCTTCTGCTCGTTGCTGCTATTGTCATGTCATCTTAATTTTCAGTGTTCTGAGACAGATTCTTAGCCAGTCTCACAATCCCTCCCTCCCTCATCCAGCAGCAACCACTTACCTTCCCTGCTGGGAAGGGAAGGGATATATTTATTTGTATCCTGCCTTTATTGTTTTTAGAAATAACTAAGGTGAATATATCCAACACACCTTCCTCCTATTTTCCCCACAACAACAATCCTGTGAGATGGATTGGGCTGAGAGTGTCTGACTGGCCCAAAGTCACACAGCTGGTTTCATGCCTAAAGCGGGACTAGAACTCACAGTCTCCCGCTTTCTAGCCTGGGGCCTTAATCACTAGACCAAACTATCTCTCCAATATCCAGTGTTCTCTGCCAGATTCTCACAAGGAAACTCAATGGGGGAGCTGGCAGAAAGTTAGAAGTTGCTCTTGCTTTTTTGCCTGCCTTTGGTCATTCTGTTTCTGTGTTTTAAGTAGGGAAATGTCTCTGAAGAGATGATCCAATGGGGCATGGGGTTGTCAAGTATTATATACTGATTAACTTTGTTCTGCATTTAATGATCCCTATCCTATTGTCCTATTCACATTAAAGGATATTTCTACCAAGTCTCCCTTCTATTTGTAATCCCTGCATTGTGTCCTACATATTTCTCCAAAAGGCCTTGATGACAATGCTGTACCAATTAATTTGGGGCCCCAATGGAGGTGTGGCAGGTTGGAGGTGGGTATTGGAGTAGATAACACCTCACCTGCTTTCTGTGCACATTTTGTTCCTTCCCTCTCCATCCTGGTTAGTTTTATTTTATTTGAATTTTATTGTTTTAATGTTTTATAGTGCATTTTAATCAAATGTCTATAAGTCACTTAGAGTCATCTCCTGCGAGATGAATGGCATACTATCACAAGATTCCCTGTTGGAGTACACAAGGCTGAGGATGGAGATGAGAAAGACTAATTCTATCTAATTAATGTTACCCTCTTTCATGTGTAAGAATGACACCAAAATGGCATTGGCATTTTCTTATGTATGTTTCTATAATGCTAAGGAATTTCTAGTGGGCTTTGTACACAGAGCCAATTCAGAAATTAATTGATTCAGTTAGTCAATTGCCTCTAAAAGAAATGCTGAAAGATAGTTATGTAGCATTTTCTCTATAGCTGTAGGGTAGGCAGTTCCCGGTCTCACTTTGCTTCCTCGCTCATGAGATGTTTTTTTGCTTCCCAGACTGTTCCCCCATTAGTTTCAGGCTACTTAGCAGAGGGACTTTGCTGCATTCCAACAGAGTAACAGCTGGGCTTGGGATGAGGGTTATTTGTTTCTTGCTATAAAACTGAAATGTAGCAAGGGAGGAACAAGAAGGAGGATGGAGTGTTTTGCTATTTTTAGTGTTTCCCCATTGGCTAGTTAGAGGAGTACTGGCTCAAGAATAGGTGAAAACATTTGTTGAGTGCACCACAAAATTGTGAAAATGCTACTAATGGTTGGTGGGATGGTGAAGCTGAAAATTGTGCGGAGGAAGCTTCTGTTTCTTTCACAGAAAAAAGGCAGAAGTAAACCTAAACATTGCTTGTCATGCAAATAATACCCTCTCAGTGAATGATCTTCTGTTGCTTTATATCCAAAGAATGACTGTGTCAAATATTCTCTTTATTGAACAAATTTTAAATGTTGTGATATCTTAATTATTTTTTTTCCAATACCAAGTACAATATTTACCCATTTTTATTCTCCTTCACAGCATATATTACACTAGTTTTTTTCTTTTAACTCACTCAGATTCTGCATACACCTACTGTATCTTTATTATGAAGATGTAGAATCTAAAATGCATTCACAACTTCACAAGGAATATCTAGTTTAACTGGAGAACTACAGCATGTTGGTTTTCTCATGGCTGTTCTTTTTCTTGCTCTTTTTAAAACATGTCTCAAGGCATGTTAAAATATAATATTAAAAGCTTGACACAGTAACATGGATTTGGATTGTTTTATGAAACCATTACATATGTTAATTGATTTAACTGAAATGTGTAGTACAGTAAAAGATTTTGGCTTATGCACTGATGCTGAGTAGTTAAGTCTTCGCTGCAACACATTGCTTTCAGCATTTGTAAATAAACTTGACATGTGAGTGTAAATATCTAGAGGGATTTGAATAGATTCCATTAACTCCATTTGCTTGAAGATGTGGTGTTACAGAGGCTGGCTGATTAAATTAACTCCCATTGAGGCATGGATTTTTCTTTTTTTACATTTGAAAGCTTGCTTTAAAAAAAAAAACACCTCAGCCTTAAACCACATGAAAAATCTCAAGCACTTTGGACAGTGCTCCATCATAATACAGTATACTAGCAGGAAATACCAGTTTATCTGGATTTAATTATTAAGCATCCACAATGCACATTCAGAACATAAGAATAAAAATGCCTCTTTCATTTAATTTATAAGGAGCAATTGTGGTCAGAGCAGAACACAAAGGGAGTAGTTTCTGAAAATATAGCTACTAAGTAATTTCTGTTTTTTCAAGCAATATAGGTAGAAGCATTACTGTATAAGCAGGATTTTTAGTCATTAGATTATATTATATGTTGATCTCTTATTGTTATGTGACTTTAAACAATCAGTGTCACATTTATTTGTGTTCATTTTCTTTTTTTCTGTAATAGGATGCTTTTTATATGGAGAAATAAATTACAAGGTTCCAAGCTTGACGGGTTCTTGGAAACCCAAAAGAGGGAATCTTGTTAAGCATACAATGTGCAATGTAATACAGATACAGTAGGAGACAACAAAGTGTGTAAGTTCCCAAGCATGCATCAACTCTGACAATTAATTCATTGGGTGAATTAACTAACAATTACTAAATTTAAGAAGTTGGAAAAGGAGGAAATATTTAGGTCAACAAACTCCATTCATATGTCAAACTGCCAAGGGATTTGTTTACAGTAACATCATGTGAGGTTAAAACTCAGCCAATAATCTAAGGTGATCTATATAGTACATTATTCAGCTTACTGGCTCAGCGGTAAAAATGTCTTTAAACAAAAAACTAGGTTTCTGTTGCTGGGATAAAGAAGGTAGACTAATTAACTGAACACTGCAGTTTTGGTGCCTGCTTCATATTTCACCTTTCAAAATGAACCTTTCCCCCCTCCTTCCTTCTTGTTACAGGTTGCTATGGGAATCTTATGATAATCTGAGAGGAAGTAAATCCTGATAATATTGCAGTTATTCATGATGTGCCTGGAGTGAAGAGGAAGGGAAACACTTCATATATCTAAGTGCCAAGGCTCTGCTGTGTCATGGCTACAGACTCTGGTGAATCAGCCAGCACAGAAGAATCAGAGAAACCTGATGGAGTTTCTATGGAATGTATGAATCCTTCTGTTGATGCTACTTTGACCATGGAGGCCAGGACCAAAGAGGGGCTTCACACACCTGCCTCTGGGGTAATTGTAGAAAGAAAAAGGTTTTTCCGAAAAAGTGTGGAGATAATGGAGGACGAAAAGGACTTGGAACTTACTCCACGGAATGAGCAAGAACAATTTATCTTGGGTGATCAGAGGATGATCCATCTTTCTGCCAGTATACTTGTGGCTGAGCAAGAAGCCAGAAATGAGCAAAACTCAAAGATGATTATGGAAGCCACGAAGGAAAGGATGAAGAAGGAGATAGAAGAGGAGGCAGAGATGAAAGCTGTGGCTACATCACCTGGTGGAAGATTTCTGAAATTTGACATTGAGTTGGGAAGAGGAGCTTTCAAAACTGTCTTCAAGGGTCTGGACACAGAAACCTGGGTAGAAGTTGCTTGGTGTGAACTGCAGGTGAGTGTGGATGAGCTCCATCAGTCAGTGAGCTAATTGTATGCTCTGATTTAACCACTGAGAGGTATGTAGTTGTACTGAACTTTATAGCCTTGATCATATTATAGATGGTATGTCATGGGTCCTAATGTAATATCTACCAGGTTTTTGTAATATTAGAAAAGTAGGACTTTTTTAAAAAAGTTGATATGGTTGCATATAAGTATGGTGGCAATTTCAATAAATGCCTAGAAGGCAGAGAGAATTTGTAATTTTGGGGGTGAAGTCCTGATCTCTCAACCAGTTCTGTTAGCATTTCGTATTTTTATACTTCTTCTTTCATACACTAGGAAAACCAAAGTGAGAAATCCTGCCCTCCCTCAATGAGAACAAAATCCTAGTGAATTGTACAGCAATTGAAATCTCAATTATATATACTCATGAACATTTTGAACAGTTTTATGTGATTTACAAGATTGCAGTTTATTTTAGGAACTCTCCTGAGTTGAAATTCTTTCATACAAACTTTGATAATGTTTTTCTTTTTTCATAAGTTCACAAATCAAATAATTGAATGAAATAATTAAATGTGGGTTGTTGTTGTTTTTAAAGTAGACACAGCAAATAAGTTCAAAAATGATTTAAGCATAGGTCTGCAACATGTACATTCAAGTTCTTTAATAGTGCAGTATAATGTGCAAATGTGGATTTCTAATTCATTTTTTGTTGTTAGTTGTGAAGTCGTGTCCGATCCATCGCGACCCCATGGACAACATTCCTCCAGGCCTTCCTGTCCTCTACCATCCTCTGGAGTCCATTTAAGCTCACGCCAACTGCTTCAGTGACTCCATCCAGCCACCTCATTCTCTGTCGTCCCCTTCTTCTTTTGCCCTCAATCTTTCCCAGCATTAGGCTCTTCTCCAGTGAGTCCTTCCTTCTCATTAGGTTGCCAAAGTATTTGAGTTTCATTCATTAGTAGTCCGTTATATAGTGGCTGACTAGAATATGTAACCATGGCTTGTGGGTGGTCTCTTCCTGGCTTCTACCCAATGGAAAAGGGTAGAAGAAATGGCCATAACATGAAAATTAATATCTTGCTGGTGCTTTTACCAGTGTAACCACAATATGAAGTATTGGGAATTGGGTTATCCACAATAACCTAAGTACATGTCAGACCAATATTGGCTTGCAATTAAGAAAATTAAAAACTAAGAAGCATTTTAAATTTGGAAGTTGGTCCTTCTTGGTTTGGTCAGTCAAATTAAGTACTTGGAAGAACAGCTGGTCACATGTTATAGCTGTATTGGCAGTTTCTATCAAAGGGTATAGTATCACTCAGGAAAAGGTAAAGTGGGAAAGTGTTAAACTATAAAAGGGGAAAAAGCATAAGGCCTGAGTGCTTGTGGTCAGGATTAAGGCAGCAGAATATGGTTAAAGATAAATCTGACCTACGTAACACTTAACCTGAATGAAATATCTTATTGCAGGATCCAATCTGGGTCAGGCACCGGGACCAGAGGTTTAGTTTTCCGAGTTTTAGGACTCATGCTGAAGCCCACCCTTAGGGAACTGGAGGATGGGCTCCAGCACCAGTCCGAAAGCTCGGAAGACTAAACCTCTGGTCCTGGTGATCTAAGCAGATTGAATCTTGGAACATTATCCTGGGACAGTATATTTGCATTCATTCATAAAGTATCTTGTACATGCTGTAGTCATAAGAGAATGCAAGGCTAATAATGCTGAACAAGGGATGAGTTTATGTGTGAAGTTTTTTTCAGTAGGAGTTTGGGGATTTTTCTGCCTTCTGCCTTTTCCCCTCTGCCTGTTCTTCTCTTTCTGTATTCTTATTTGTTCCCAAGCTTCAGTCCTATTATCTCCAAAATCCTTTTCAAGCCCTCTGTGGCCATCTTCTAAGTAGCCTACCCAATATTGAGTTCATGCAAATTGTTACCCGTGTTTACCTGAAAATAAGACCCTGTCTTATATTTTTTTGAACCCTGAAATAAGCACTTGGCCTTATTTTTGGGGAGGTCTTATTATTTTGGGGCGTGTGGAGGAAACCAGAGGAAATGGTGGGGACCAGCTGCACATGCTTTTAAATATTTTTGGGGAGGGCTTATTTTCAGGGGGGGCTTAGTTTAGCACATGCACTCAAAAGCCCAATTGGGCTTATTATCAGGGGATGTCTTATTTTTGGGGAAACAGGATACATAGGTATTATCTGAGGACTGAGGAAATGCTTGCATAATGAAGAAAGGCACTTTATTTGGAGAAACACCCCTATTTCTTTAGGTTTTCCACGATTTCCTGATTTTTTTTTTCCACTACAAAAGGAAAATTGTAAAAGGGTCATTTGAAACATCCATTTCAGCTTGCCTCCCATTTTCTCTGTTTCAGATAGTATTCCTATAATTTGTAGGATAACTTGATACAAGGAAAGAAAATGTTCCTGTGTTCTTAAAATTTTGTCTAGAAAAAATGTTTTAATTTAATTTAATTTAATTTCCAATTTATATACCGCCCTTCTCCCTGAGGACTCAGGGCGGTGTACAGCCAAGATAAAAAACATAGAATACAAATATTAAAACATTTAAAAATATATATAAATTTTGGCCCGAAAGTTAAAAAATCACAGACTAATTAAAAGAATTTAAAAATTTCTTCTTAAGCCAACCCGGCTCGCTGGAAAAGATGGGTTTTCAGGGAACGACGGAAGGCATTGAGGCCATGGATTCTTCTTATCTCCGGGGGCAACTGATTCCAGAGGGTGGGAGCCCCCACAGAGAAGGCCCTCCCCCTGGGGGCCACCAGCCTACATTGTTTGGCTGATGGCACCCTGAGGAGGTCCTCTCTGTGGGAGCGCACGGGTTGATGGGAGGTCGTCGGTAGCAGCAGGCAGTCTCGCAGATATAAGGATTGCAAGATAAAAGGATGAGAAGAAGTCACAATAGTTGGTGATACAAAAATACTGTTTTTCTTTACACCTTGCTACTCTCCCCATCTGTGCTGGCAAAATGTTGTGGAGGATAGAGGGAGCAGAATTTTTTTGAATGGTGTAGTATTATAAAGTGATTAGACACTGTAATGCTTGATAAGTCTGCTGTTAGCTGTAATACTTTAAATAAACCTACAGGTTTAAAGCCAGTTGCTTGGGTTCACCAGCTTGAGAATTTCTTCGAAGCAAGTGACTGGCAGCTGTCTGTTTCTTAATTTCTTGGCGATATATGTTTATGCCAACTAGGAATGTTGATAGTGGTAGTCCAGTGCATTTGGAAGACACTAGTGTTGAAAATTCTGTTGCTTAATGCAGTGTGATTCTTACGATCTTATAAACAATAAGATTTTTGACCTTTCTCCAAAGCAACTATTACTTTTTGATTTGTATTTTTTGATTTCTATTTTTTTGCAATACTAATTAAATTTATGATTAAATTTAAATTTCATTCTCCTCTTTAGAGTAGGCAATCTTGGTGAATTGCCTACTATTCCTATTAAGAATTAACCTTGAGAAACGACTCTGTAAACCTCTTAGAGAGGGCTGTAAAACACCGTGAAGCAGTACATAAGTCTAAATGCTATTGTTATACTACTTCAGTATAATAAACAGAAGGTGAAAATATGGGATTTTGGAAGTGGGGAGAGGGAATAGATCATTTAAATAAGCTAGCTCATTGCTTGTGTTTTATTTCTGTTTTTGTTTTTGTCATAGAAAATTGACTTGAGCAGCTGTGATTAAAAATAAAACAGTATGTACTTGTTTTTCCCTATATACCTATCAGTGGGTGGTGGAATAACTACCGTATGCTTCATAATTGGTTTAATTTCTTCCACAGCTAATTCAGCCTAACCTTGTCAGAATTTTCCATGCAATGTTTCTAAACATCAGAGCTTATATTATGCTGCCTCATCACTTACAATGCTCAAACTTATACTCCTGTCACATTATCAGTTACAGTGCTCATTGATTGAACCCCATAATCAATATCCTTAGTTGTACTAAGATGTTAAAGAAGCTATTTAGCAAGGCTGTTTATTTGAAGGATCTTATATATGACTTTGGGTTAGAATTTTAGCTATTGAGTTACTAAAACCAACTTTAAGAATTTTTTTAGAAGTAAGCCCTCTAGGAAGAAATTAAATTGATTTTAGGTGAGTATGCCAGGTGTATTTTTGTCTGTGTATTTTTAACTATTTCATACTTGTGATATAGGATTTTCAATCTTTCGGAGCTGGGAAGCACATTTGGAATGTTACGGGCACTCAGATAAAGAGACATTTAGAATTTAGAATTATTGAACTTCATTATGTTTGTTTAGAAAAGGACTGTCAAAAACAACATTTTATTGGAGATATAATAAGGATAATGCTTCTTTAAAAGATACATTTCTACGTATTAGCCCTTATGTGGCTAAAGACTGATATTACAGCATTAGAAAAATAAACATATGACTCAACTTAGTCAATGGATTGAAGATCTGATTGCACTTGCCATATGAGCTGATTGCGGATGTAGATTTTGTATAACTGGTACAATGAAATATGGGATTCATTATACAGAATATAGTAAAAAAGATATTCAAGTAGATATTTAAAATATTTATGCACTTGAATAATATTTGCATTAGCCAAGCATATATAGATTTATTTGCATATATTGTTATAATCACATATTGTTTTCTTGTCAGGCTTTTTTTACTTTTTTATTAAAGCACTTTTAATTTTTTCCCCTTCTCTTTGGCAATGTAAGTATGATTGTTATTATTAATTAAAAAGCAATAAAAGTATATTTTAAAAATAATTTATATCGTACCATACATTTTAATTTATATCTTACCATATATATATTACATTATATGTAATAATTACTTAATTATTAAATGATTTTATTAAAGTTTAGAGATACAAAATAAAAGACTAATACAAATTTTTAAAAATCTAAGAGTAAAAAGTGCAGAGAAAAAGGTTAAAGAAAAGAAAAGATAAGAAAAAGATAAAGGAAGAAATGTACAAGGAAGTGACGT